ACAAGTAAAGTTGTACTTTGGTCTAAACCAGAAATGGGCAATCTCGATGCTGGAGAACCAGTCCCCTGCATAGTTTTGCTCCAACTCTAATCAAACACACCCAGTGGCGCAAAAAGGGGGGTATGCAGTATATGCGGCGCATAGGGGCGCCACACATGGGGGGCGCCATTGTGCCAAAACTGTTTTAGAAATTATCCATATTAAAAGTTTCAAATAATATATATATATTTTTTGTTAAAAATGTTTATTTTTATTTATTAAATTAAAAAATCATTCCACCCCTCCCCCCTTATTTTCATACCATATACATGTTTTTATGAATTTATTATGCATCATATTGATTCATCAGGCCGTTTGGTAACTTCTTAGCTCAAAACTATTTTAATTTTAGCTACAAACAAAGTTATAACATTTCAATTAAATAGAACATTTCACACAGTTTGTTTCTGTTTTTTTACACTAAACATTTGACCGTCTTTTTTATTTCACTTTTAGCCGTTTCAGTCAATTGTTCTTGCAGAGACAGACCTTACACTTCTCACAGTATGCATGTCAGAAGTAACTGCAATGTTCTCTCGCCCTTTAGGACTCACATGTCTTTCATTTTGTTTTGACAAATGTACAAAAAGTCCAAAAGCAAGGCTAGTCAAGGTGCTATAATCATTTAGTGAGGGAAAATTAAACTGAGAAGAAATGTGGGGTGGTATGAGATGCATTTCTTTGCGACTTAACATGCTTCATGTAATTATACCTTTTACTACTTCATTCTATTTCAGGTGTGTTCAGAACTGCGACACTGTATTTTTTGAAGCATATTGATATCTTTATGAAAAAATATCTTTAATTTATTGATGGAAATATTTTCCACATTTTATCACTGGCCTGTTTTAAAATATAGTTGGATTGAAGGGAGGCGCACAAAAGCTGAAGCCGCATACCCATCAGTTAAAAGAGTCTGCCTGTATCTTTCTAGTGATCTTGAAGACACTGATTAGGGTATTCAGGTGTGTTTGATTAGTGTTGGAGCAAAACTTTGCAGGGACATCGGCCCTCAAGGATCATGTTTGCCCATGCCTGGAACTATAATGATTACACATAATGTTAGGCTGTGCTATTAATAGTTATTTTATTTTCAATCATTCAAATCAGTAGATCACTATCAATGTACATATAATTCATATAAACTGAAAGCGCATAAACAGCACCTTTTTCATGTGGTCATATGACATGAAAACTGCTGCTTTAAAGTAAAAATTAAATGAAATAAAATAACTTGCAGTTTGTTGCAAAGGGCATACACTCAGCGGCCACTTTATTAGGTACACCTGTCCAACTGCTTATTAACGCATATTTCTAATCAGCCAATCACATGGCAGCAGCTCACTGCATTTAGGCATGTAGACATGGTCAAAAGGATCTGCTGCAGTTCATATCGAGCATCAGAATGGAGAAGAAAGGGGATTTAAGAGACTTTGAACATGGCATGGTTGTTGCTGCCAGACGGGCTGCTCTGAGTATTTCAGAAACTGCTGATCTACTGGGGTTTTCACGCACAACCATCTCTAGGGTTTACAGAGAATGCTCCGACAAAGAGGAAATATCCAGTGAGCGGCAGTTCTGTGGGCGCAAATGCCTTGTTGATGAGGCCAGAGGTCAGAGGAGAATGGCCAGACCGGTTCCAGCTGATAGAAAGGCAACAGTAACTCAAATAAGCACTCGCTACAACCGAGCTCTGAAGAAGAGCATCTCTGAACACACAACACGTCCAACCTTGAGGCGGATGGGCTACAGCAGCAGAAGAGCACACCGGGTGCCGCTCCTGTCAGCTAAGAACAGGAAACTGAGGCTACAATTCACACAGCCTCACCAAAACTGGACAATAGAAGATTGGAGAAACGTTGCTGCTCTGATGAGTCTCCATTTCTGCTGACACATTCAGATGATCGGGTCACAATTTGGCCTCAACAACATGAAAGCATGGATCATCCTGCCTTGTATCAGCGGTTCAGGCTGGTGGTGGTGGTGTAATGGTGTGGGGGAGATTTTCTTTGGGTCCATTAGTACCAGTTGAGCATCAACGCCACAGCCTACCTGAGTATTGCTGCTGACCATGTCCATCCCTTTATGAGCACAGTGTCTCCATCTTCTGATGGCTACTTCCAGCAGGATAACGCAGCATGTCATAAAGCTCAATCATCTCAGACTGGTTTCTTGAACATGACGATGAGTTCACTGTACTCAAATGGCCTCCACAGTCACCAGAGCTCAATCCAAAAAAATCTGCAGCAACTGTGTAATGCTATCATGTCAATATGGAGCAAAATCTCTGAGAAATATTTCCAGTAGCTTGTTGAATCACTGACACGAAGGATTAAGGCAGTTCTGAAGGCAAAAGGGGTCCAACCCGGTACTAGGAAGGTGTCCCTAATAAAGTGGCCAGCGAGTGTATATTTAATAATTTGTCTAATAATAATATTTAACCTAAAATTAATGTTTTAGATCAGGCACTAAAACTGAAATAAAAGTTCAATATAAATATTAGTTAAAATATAATCATGTAAATGAGGAAAGCACAGTAACATTATTTAGACATTATCATCAAAACAATTAAGCCATTAAAATTTTAAGAAAAAAACAGGCAAAACAAAAGCACAAAACACATTTTAAATGAAAACAGAAAATATATCTAGAACTAAAAGTATTCTAGTATATAAATGAAGGTGAATTAGGGTGAAATAAAGGTTAACGTGTTTTCTTGAAGACTGTTTAAGCTGTTGTTGTTGCTTTAGTAAATGTTAGCTGATGCAGTCATATCCACAGTGAGAAAAACACTTATTAAAGTTACTATCTTAATATTATTTAAAGCAAAATGCTTCTGATTTCTCCATTGAGCACCACAAGTTCAACTTTTGATTTGAATAAGTTAAGCATTAACTAAGAAATGAACATCAGCCGAGATTAAGAAAAACGTTTGTAGTTGACATTGATAGTTTAGTTCAATTAACTAATGCTAACAAACTCTGTCTTAATGGCTTGTTAATATTCCATGTATTTTCAGTCAATATCTTGTGTCATACACCAGACTAACAAGTTAAAATCTTCATGTTCTAAAAGAAAAAAAAAGCTGCTGTGATGAACAACACTATACATCAGTCTGAATGTTCATAACTCTTAACAGGATAAATAATAAATGCTTATTCACTGTGTTTTGAAATTAACAGTGTCATGCTTGTTCATTGTATGAATCATAATATATTGTAATTTTGAATATCAGCACATACAGTACAGTATGTCTAATCCAGATGATGTAAGAGTGACAGGCGGATGCGGCTCTACATCTCTATTTTCTGCCTAATGGTATCATCAGGTCACTGTTGTTATGGAAACTGGCTCTCTCTCTCTCTCTCACACACACACACACACACAGACTCAGCATCACTTTCACAGTCGTCACATGAGGCAAGATGAAAAACACACAGCCTTCACACGCACACACACACACACACACACACACACACACACATCAGCAGCTCATAGTAGAGTTTCTGTCACATTCACCATCCTCTGCTTGTCTGCACAGAAACACACAGCAGACAGCCCATAATTAGCAGCTGCAGATTCAGCGTGTAATAGTGAGTCGCCCACGCATGAAACCAGTCAGAATTTACACCTTATTTATGTCTTGTTTCCCTTTTCAGATGTCTAAACCTTTTCTTGAAATGAGACTTTAAAAATTTGGAGAAATATTTAACAAAATAAATACTGTGGTAATTTAGTGTTTGTGAACCACGCTATTGTAAAGTACTCAAATGAATCTGCTGTGGTGATTTTGTAGCAGCTATGCTAACACAACAACTACTGTAATTACTGTTGCAGTGATTCTACAGTTGCTCTGGTCATTCATCTTTTGAGGTGATTCTAAAGTTGCTATGGTAACACAACAACTACAGTAATTACTGTGGCGGCGATTCTATAATTACCATCATAACCCAACAAGAAATGTATCTGCTGTGGTGATTCTATAGTTGTTAAGTAACACAGCAACTACAGTGATTACTGTGGCGGTGATTTTAAAGTTTCTATGGTAACAACAACTGTAGTACTGTTGTGGTGATGCTAAACTTGCTATTAGTAACACAACAACTACTGTAAGTGGTGGCGATTCTATAGTTACTATGGTAACCCAACAACTAGTTATTTATCTGTTGTGGTGATTCTACAGTTGCTATAGTAACACAACAACTAGAGTAATTACTATTGCAGTGATTCTATAGTTACTGTGGTAACAACTATAGTAATTAATCTCTTGTGGTGATTCTAAAGTTGCCATGTTAACAACAACTACTGTAATTACTGTGGCGGCAATTCTATAGTTACCATCGTAAACCAACAACTAGTAATTTAACTGTTCGGTGATTCTACAGTTGCTATGGTAACACTATAACTACAGTAATTAATGTTGCACTGATTCTATAGTTACTACGGTAACACAACTACTATAGTAATTCATCTGTTGTGTTGATTCTAAAGTTGCTATGGCAACACAACAACTACTGTAATTACTGTGGTGGTGATTCTATAGTTACTATGGTAAAGCAATGGCTATAGTAATTGATCGGTTGTGGTGATTCTATAGTTGCTAGGGTAACACAACAACTATAGTAATTTGTTGTGGTGATTTTACAGTTGCTATGGTAACACAACAACTGTTAGTAATTTGTTGTGGTGATTCTACAGTTGCTATGGTAACACAACAACTGTTAGTAATTTGTTGTGGTGATTCTACAGTTGCTATGGTAACACAACAACTGTTAGTAATTTGTTGTGGTGATTCTACAGTTGCTATGGTAACACAACAACTAATAGTAATTTGTTGTGGTGATTCTACAGTTGCTATAGTAACAATAACTACAGTATTTTGTTGTGGTGATTTTACAGTTGCTATGGTAACACAACAACTACATATAATGATCAAAGTGTTTGTGGTTTCTCTCTTGCAGAAAGTCAGTGAGAAGGTCGGAGGAGCTGAAGGCACAAAACTGGACGATGATTTCAAAGAAATGGAAAAGGTACATTTATACGAACACACACACACAAAAACATGCTTATACACACATGCTTATACACACTTGAAGACATGTATTACTGTACATATGTCTAAAATCCTTGGATTAAGATGCATGTGAATCAAAGATGAAAATGGGTTTGGAAACCGGCAAACACTGCTAATACAGCTTTCATTTCTGCTGTTCAGTCAGATTATTTTTCTAAGCAGTGACTATCATCTGTTCTTATCATGATTTAAAGACGAAAGACTCTATAATGTGTCCAGAAGTTGCTTTGAGGTATATTTAGAGTAATAATCATTTGATTACATGTTAAAAGTCTCTATTTAAGAATCACAATTGGGTCCCAATAAACTCAGTAACTGTCAGCTGAAATCTACTTATATTTATTCATTCATTCATTCATTCATTCATTCATTCATTCATTCATTTTCCTTCGGCTTAATGCTTTATTTATCAGGGGTTGCCACAGCAGAATGAACCGCCAACTTATCCAGCATATGTTTTACACAGCTTATGCCCTTATAGCTGCAACCCAACACTGGAAACACTCTTGCATTCTCACACACACACATACACTACAGTCAATTTAGTTAATCAATGCATGTGCAGCGCATGTGTTTGGACTGTGGGGGAAACCGGAGTACCCGGAGGAAACCCACGCAAAGGCAGGGAGAACATGCAAACTCCACACAGAAATGACAACTGACCCAGCCGAGACTTAAACCAGTGACCTTCTTGCTGTGAGCTGACCAATATATATATATATGGGTGGTGCAGTGGATGGCTCAGTCGCCTCACAGCAAGAATGTTGCTGGTTCAAGTCCTGGCTGGGTCAGTGGTCATTTCTGTGTGGAGTTTGCATGTTCTCCCCTTGTTAGCGTGGGTTTCCTCCGGGTGCTCCGGTTTTGTCACATATAAATTAATATACTAAGAAGGATGCAAGATGCAAGTAAAAGTTTATTTGACGAAGTCAGAATAAACCAAACGGGAAAGGGAAAACGAGCAAGGTCACGAGGAATACTGGGCTGTAGAAAATGGGAAACAGACAGAAGAACCGGGTCCAGCAGCTACTCCTCACAGTCCTGAGCACAGACAGACATACATGATGAGCAAACACAACGAATGACAAGGAAACATAGAAGCGTTGCCCAGATATAGACACGGTAATGAACTTCAGCTGGCGAGCTAATCAAAACAGTGACCGACTATAACAAATACACGTGGACGACCAAAACAAAACAAACCCACGTGACAAAACAGACACTCAGGAAGACGCACAAATCTGCAACCATGATAGTTTCCCCCTCAGTCAAAACACATGCACTATAGAGGAATTGATGAACTAAATTGGCTGTAGCGTATGAGTGTATGGGTGTTTTCTACTGAGTTGCAGCTGGAAGGGCATCCGCCGCGTAAAACAAATGCTGGATTAGTTGGCGGTTCATTCCGCTGTGGCGACACCAGTTTAATAAAGGGACTAAGCCAAAAAGAAAATGAATGAATGAATAAATATGTATAAAATAATAATAATAAGAAGAAAATATCAGTTTGCAGCATAACAAGCTTTTTTAATGGCTAAAAATCAATGGAAGTGAACGAGAGCGGAATATAGAAACTGGATATGAGATTTTTGTTGTATCGCCCAGCTCTGTACTGTGTGTGTGTAAGTGTGTGTGTGTGTGTGTGTGTGTATGTGTGTGTGTGTATATATATTTATATATATACAGTTGAAGTCAGAATTATTCGCCCCCCTGTTTACATTTCCCCCAGTATCTGTTTAACAGAGAGCAGATTTCTTCAACACATTTCTAATCCTAATAGTGTTAATAACTCATCTCTAATAGCTGGTTTATTTTCTCTTTGTCATGATGACAGTAAATAATATTAGACTAGATATTCTTCAAGACACTAGTGTTCAGCTTAAAGTGACATTTAAAGGTTTCACTAGGGTAATTAGGGTAATAAGGCAAGTTATTGTATAACAGTGGTTTGTTCTGTTGACTTTCGAAAATAAATATTGCTGAAAGGGGCTAATAATATTGAGCTTAAAATGGTGTTTAAAAAATTAAAAACTGCTTTTATTCTAGCCAAAATAAAACAAAAAAGACTTTCTGTAAAAGAAAAAAATATTATCAGACATACTGTGAACATTTCCTGAATCTGCTTAACATAATTTGAGGAATATTTAAAAAAAGAAGAAAATTTAAAGCGGGGTGAATAATTCTGACTTCAACTGTATATATAATATATATTTATATATGTAAATGTATGTGTGTGTGTGTGTGTGTGTGTGTGTGTGTGTGTTTATTGTAGTCACTCTAGACAAATACAGTCACTAAGCTGAGTTTTGCACCTGATATTGTGTGTGTGTGTGTGTGTGTGTGTGTGTGTTTGAGCTCGTGGACTCGTGCTTCATGAGTCTGGTTGTGTGTTTTGTTGTTATTTATTTGTACTTTGACTTTGATTGACGTAGCGCTTCACTCTTCTGATCAACCTCACTATGTCCAGCTCTGTCCCAGCATGCCCACAGGAGAGTTCTGGATGAGTGTATGTGTGTGTGTGTGTGTGTGTGTGTTTGGTATGCGCTGCAAAACATGCTTTACTTCAAGTTTTTGTCTTGTTTCTAGACCAAATATGCAAAAAGATTTTAAATCAAGAAGCATTTTCTAGTCAGGCGCATAATATTGTTTAGTCTTCATAAATAATGGGACAAAATTAAGTGAGTTTCTCCTTAAAACAAGCTAAATAATCTGCTATGATGAGTTATATAATCTTGCTTTAGCTTTGGCGTACGATTACTTCGCTTACCCCATTGGTGGATTATTTTTGGGCATGTTTTAAGGAAAAACTCACTTAATTTTGACTCATTATTTCTGAAAACAAGACAATATTGTAGACTTGTCCAGAAAATGCTTCATCATTTAAAGATTTTAACATATTTGGACTAAAATCAAGACAAAAACAGCATATTTTGCAGTGCACACAATAAATCAAAGCTCTTTTTTCTAAATAAGTGACCAATAACAAGACAAGACTGATCTGTCTACAGTCAGATCTCATACAGGACAGCGTTATTTAGAGAAAAACTGGAAACACTTTACAATGAGGTTGTGTTAGTTACTGCTAGATGTGCATTTATTAACATGAGCAAACAGTGAACATTGCATTTATTACAGTATTTGTTCATGTTGGTCATTGGAAATACAGTTGTTCATTGTGAGTTCATGTTAATTAAGCATTACCTAATGTTAACAAGCATGGATGTAGATGTTAATAATGCATCAGTAATTGTTGATCTGCAACTCATAATGAGTTCATGATAGTAAATACATTCACTAATGAAACCTTATTGTAAGATGGGACAGAAAAACTGCTTCTGATTGGTGGATTTCGTTGCTTGTTTTAGCATTTTGGCTTTTAGACGGCATAACTTTGTTTAAAACGAAACTGAAAATGGAAAAACTGAAAACTTTTTTAAAACATGAAGGAGCTTTTCCATGTTTAGTTCACTGCTGTAGTGTTAACTGACCCTTTAGTCAAAGCAAACATATTAGAAATGTGTTTGCACTGCAAAAAGTGTGTCCTTTTTCCCAGTGTTTGAGAATTATTAAATTAATATGCATTAAAATGACTTATAATAATTCCATATGTGGGTTTTTGCTTAAAACAAGAAGAAATGCACACAAAAATTCGTAAATAATCATGTTTTGAGTGAAAGTGTTCGCTAAATGCTTAATAAAACCAGATATTTGTTCTTATTTCAACACTAAGCTCACTTATTTTATTTGATACATTTCAGTCTTAAACATTAAGTGATTATAAGAATGTCTGGGAAAACAGGACACAATTAAATAACACTTTATGATGAGGTTTTGTAATTTACAGGGTCAGTTCACCACAAAGATTACACTTCTGTCATCATTTACTCACTTGTTGCAAACATTTATGATTTGTTTTTTTTACTTCTGTGAAACTAATAGGAAGATATTTTGAAGAATGTTGTAAAAATCGCCTTTCATAGTGTTTGTTTTTCCTACTACTGAAGTCAATGGTTTCCAACATTCTTCAAAGTATCTTCTTTTGTGTTCAGCAGAAGAAAAGGATGAGCAAATGTAGTCAGTGCTTTAGAAGTATTGTTTATTATTAGTTAACAAATGAATCCTTGTCGTAAAGTCAGATGTTTGCAGTGAGGGAGGGTTGAAATGTTGGTGAAAGTTAGACTTGCTTCTCATAAATGACTTCTTGTTCAACATTTCCAGTGAAATATGAAAATGCAATAAGGTTATAGAACACAGAGCACACACTAGCTGGTTAGTTATTGATCTAAACCAGCCCTAACCAGTTGAAATAAAATAATATTAATAAATGACCATCCATGTGCATCCAGTTCCCATTATAAACCTGTGCTGCGTCCCAATTCACCTGTTTATACTGCGTCCTAAAAATAGACACTTTTAGTCTGGAAAAACTACAGAGCTTCCTCATTAATATACCATTCTGTTGCTTAGTTACCTGTCCTGTCAATCATCTTGTTGCATATTAAAATGATTCATGTTTCTTTACAAATATTAAATATTACAAATATTAAAGAAGTGCATTCATATAGAAGTGCATTCAGTGTAATTGCAGATTAATTATAACACGACAAACATTCAATAAATATTTTAATGAAGGTTTAGATATGAATCATTGCAACATCTATACCGAAACTTCTCCACTAAATCGTTGATCTTGCGCATCTGCCATGTTTGTAGTTTTTTTAATCGCGTTTACCTGTGCTTGTAGTTTTAATGAAATTCTCATCCCAAGTGCAGTGTATTGTGGGTAATATTAGCTGTTATGCTGGATTCGCACTATATGTGGAGCACTCTGTCAGTTGCTGTAGTTTATCAGCGGGATGTTTTTCATGTTTAATTAATTGCATTGATTTTGTATGTAAACAACTTGCGCAGACACTTGCTTTTGGTGTGAAGAAAGTCAGAACCAAACGCAGAGCACTCAATCCAGATTACTCACACGGTTTTTACACCCTCACACAAATGATACGTTTTTTTAATGAAAACTATTTTTTTAAAACTACACGTTTCTTTAGCTACACACATTTAAAATGAATTTGGTGCGGAAAACAAGTCGGCAATTCATAACTTTTTGATTTAGTGGTAAATTCGTATGATCTCATTTCTACAATTTAGTACGATTTGCTCATCCCCCAATGATGGTTGGGTTTAGGGGTGGGGTTGAGTGCCACACCTCCTTTTTAAAATTGTACATTTTCGTATGACTCATACGAATTAAATTATCACTTAATTAAAAACGTAAAATAGTTACGTTTCTTCGTGAGATCAAGCTGGCATTTGCACTAATCAGCAATAATTCACCTTTATTCGCGCGTTTGCATTGACTTTGTTCGTAAACAACACGCGCAAATAGTTAATTTCACTTTTAATGTGAACAAAGTGAAAGTCGGCACCAGATGCAGAGCTCACTCCAGTTTAGTCGCAGGATGTTTTTACTTGCGCGGAAGACATGGTTGAATTTTGCGTGTTTGCAGAAAAAATGCCGCGCATTCGGCATCGTTTGCGCAGATAACTAAACTATAACTTAATTGAAAACGTAAAATAGTTACGTTTCTTTGTGAGATCAAGCTGGCATTTGCACTAATCAGCGATAATTCATCTCTGTTCGCATGTTTGTATTGACTTTGTTCGTAAAAATTTTATGCAGACACTTAGTCTCGCTTTTCAAGTGAAAACCTAACGTCAATTTTTTCTGCTTGAGTTACATTTTTTTTAACTTGTTTGGAAGACACGGTTGAGATGAATTTTGCGTATTTGCGGCAAACACATGAATAGAGGTGAATTATCGCCACTCTGCACGAATGCGCTACGTGTTTATATGTGAATGCGTTTACTTTGTAAGTTACTTAATTGATAGAATACTTCATTTCGCATTTGGTGTGAAAGTCCAAGTCAGCACCAAGTACAGAGCACCGCGTCACTCACTCCAGTTTACTCACAGTACGGTTTCAGCCCTCACCCAAGTTTTTTCGAGTTACTTTTTTTTTTTTTACTTACGCTGAAGACATGGTTGAGGTGAATTTTGTGTGTTTGCTGAAAACATGTCGCGCAGTCAACATCATTTGCGCAGATGAGCGATAATTCTTCACTATTTGCATGTTTGTATTGACTTTGTATGTAAACTACTTACGCAAATACTTAATTTCGCTTCTAATGTGAACAAAGGGAAAGTCAGCACCAAACGCAAACCACCGCGTCACTCACTCCAGATTACTCGCGGGATGTTTTTCACCCTAACGACATTTTTTTTGCTTGAGTTACATCTTTCGAACTTGCACAGAATACAGATTTTGCGCATTCGCAGCAAACACGTGAATAGTAGTGAATTATCACCGCTCTGCGCGAATGCCATTGAATGCGCAACGTGTTTGCAGCGAATGCATTTACTTTGTAAGTTACACTATTTTTGCATTCAGTGTGAAGCCAGCATTAAAGTAAGCACAGACCTGTGTTTCTACTGACTATAAAAGACCATCTGGGTAACTTTGAGTAACTCATTTCATCATTTAAGACACTATTTCAACTTTCGAATACTACTTAGTATGAATAGTATTGTGAATTGGGACGCAGCAAGTGTTTTCCAGCAGGAGGCGCTGTGGACTTTGACAGATTATTCTCAGACGTTTCCTAGAGCATCATATAAAGTCTTATTTTTGAACTATAGGTGGTATTTCCACAAACGCCAAGATTGTTTTAACTGCTGGATATTACTGTGTGTGTGTGTGTGTGTGTGTGTGTGTGTGTGTGTGTGTGTGTGTGTGATTGTTCCCACAGTAGAATATAATGCTAGTCACTGCTGTAGTTTTAGTGGATAGGTGTTAGTGCTGTGACGTTTGTTAGCACATATGCTATGAGAAAGATATTTTTAATGTGAAGCTGGCTGAGGGACGGCCTCTGATGATCATATATAGTGTATAATAACAGACTGCAGTGTAGCAGCGTTTGTTGTTTTAGTGGTTGATGGACCATGATCTTCAGCACAGATAATGCTGTGTGTCGCTTGATGCCTTCAACGTGTTCTTCAGCCTTGAGTTCAGTTCGGTGTGTCGCTCGCAGTCTGGCACAGAGTGTGTGGAAGCTTGTGTCTGCCGCATCAACATAATCATGAGGTTTTATCTCTCAGTTCTGACTCTTTCCCTCACAATTCCTCCTTCACATTTCCTCATTCTGAACTTTTTACCCGGAATTCCTTGTTTCCTCATAATTCTGACTCCCCCTTTCCCAGAATTCCAAGTTCACATCTTGTAATTTCATTTTCTTCATAGAATTCTGTTCATGTGCCGGAAATCAAATTTCCCCCCAGAATGTCTCATGATTGTGACATTTCCTCAATTCCTTTTTTACATCTCGTATTTGTGACATTTTTGTCCAGAATTCTTTGTTTACATCTCATAATTTTAACCTTTCCCCCAGAATTC